GACATTCTGCATTTTCAGTCAGAGCTTCAGAAAAAATGATTAAATTTCAACAAATAGCAGAGACTGCACAAGCTTCTGTGTTTTCAGACAAAACTTCAGACATGGCTCAAGGAAAACCAAACATCTGATCAATGATTAGACCTATTAACAATGGTCTTCTCAACTGGACATATCTGATAACCATGCATCTAATCAGAGAGTTTGCTGTGGTACTGGAATCAATAAATTTGAGATCTAAATTCATGAGGCTTTACAGACTTGCTGTATTTAAGGCAGAGCAGCAGCAACCTTGTCCAACACAGTCTCCCCCTGTTCAGAGTAACTGAATACCTCAGAGCCGGCATACAGATTGGTTGTTTAAAGTGGTATTCCTGGAGGTCAGTTTTCACCATCTGCAGCTTGGTCCACTCTTACCACACTCTAACGCACATGAACATCTGAGAAGTTAAAATCAGTTCATGATAGAAGTGTGACAATGCCACCCCCATCCTTTAAAACACTACCTTTACAAAATAATAGACTAATCTGCAAACATTAAGTTAGCAGAGCAGGCACAAAAACACACACCTGAAAAACCTCCTCATGTTTGTTTGAGATGGAAATTCAACCAAAAAAAATCTCTTGGACTATTATGCATGCTGTTGCAAAACACTGTTAATAGGTACTGACGCGAGTGACTGGCTCTGATTAAGCCCTTCATTTGCATGGCAGGGGGTTAATGCACCTTGTCTTGTTTCTGACAGAGGGCAAAGACACAACACTGTGAGGATAAAAATATCAGCACCAACTACTAGAGTCAGAAAATCTGATGAAAATCATCCAGTTTGATTAAAACATCAGAGCGCGAAATATCCACTGACAGTGAGAATGTGAAAATAAATAGTAAAAGCACTTGATACACTGGGTTTTAATGAGTTGTTCGGACCACTTCTAAGCTTTTCTGAGTTGCTGTTTTTGCAGCATTGTGATCAATTCCAAGTGGCAATCAAAAGATTGTTTTCAGCTCTGGAGAATCTACTCGTTAATGTCTCTGACATTTTATAGCTCATTAGCAAACCTCTATTTGACAGAAGAAAAACAAAAAACAAAAGGAATTCATGTCTGCCCTGCCTGATATCTTCAAATAGATGATTTTTATTTTGAGCAGCAGGAAGATAAATTATCAGACAACACTGTAATTGGGTGTCTCCAGTCACATAACTGGACTAGACTATCTTTTCATGTGGGAGGTTGAGAAAACAGCAGGTTCTTAGATCAACTACTGACCATACCTTACACCTCCTGCTATGAAGACATGACTCAAGTCTGTGATAATAACCGGATGCAGCGCCAAGTTATACATCTGTTTCTGAAGGGGACTTTTAAGGCCTTTTGGTGGCAGTCACTGTATTGGTAATGCTAATTCAACCAAGTTTTTGGTTAGCAGAGGCGGGTCTTTAGCCTCCTCATAGATAGCCATAGTATGCCTGTCTGTTAGTCAAGTCGGCCATGCCTCTGATTTCACTGATTATTGAACTTCAAGAACTCTGAAACAAAAAATAAATAAAAAAAGATAAAAAAACTTCACTGTTGTGGAAGCCCTAAGCAGATTTCTTTTTTAAGATTAAGGCTGTAAATGTGTTTATTTTTGCTTTAAAATCAGGCTTTTTGGTTCAGTGTGTGCCATGGTTTTTGGTGCTTCAGCGTCTAGCCTTAAGTGGACTCCAGAAAACTGCAGTTTTTTTGCACGTTCAGGTCTGTTTCATTTCTCAAGACTGAGGTTGCTGTTGAATGTAAGTCATTTCTAATCTAGAAATGCTTCATTGCTAGGCAGAACAAAACCAGATTGATTTACATGACTCCTTCTAACCAGACTGGAACTGGGAAACTGGCTCAATCAGAGCAAAAAAGACTCATTTACAGGCTACACACACACGCACACACACACACACACACACACACATATATATATATATATATATATATATATATACAGTATATATATATATATATAATCTTTTTTTTTAATGGAGAAAAAGGGTGGCATATTCCTTTCATTATTTTACATGAACTACCATGTATACACTTATTCAGACTGTAAACAAATACTTAAAAGAGACAATGTTTGTCTCTCATGGTCTGAGATTACATGACCGAACAAAACAATGGTATTTTTGGACATTTCATTTACGAGCAAAACAACCAAGAAAGCTACCATCCACATAACAGATCCTCGACATCCTTATCCTTTATCGTGTTGGAATGCTATGACGTCTAGTTGGTGGACTACGCCATGAGTTGTGCTCATAGTTGCCAAGTCTGCTTATTAAAGGTGACTTAAGGCTTGTTTTTCTCAAGGTCACCTGTAAAACTCATCAGTTGCAGGTTGCATTTTTTTGTGTGCTTGTTTTTACCTAGTAATTGCTTATTTGGGTTTGCCTTTCTGTCTGTGTGAATCCCCCTAGGTTATCAAGTGCAAGTGCGGTAGGTAGTTTGTCCTTTCCAGACCACCGTTTCCTGAATTGCGCCCTCTGAAGTACTTGGCACGTCCCCAGACACATTCACACACAGCGCATCATGCTCATGTACACTGGAGCGTAGAGTGACAGAGAAAAAAAGTGTTGCCAGCCACACAACTTTGTTGCAAGATTTAGGGACTCTTCAGACCCCTATGGCAACTTATTTTCAAAAGCACCTAACGACTTTTTTGGAGACTTTGACATAAAAGCAGGTATTGACGTTCTTCTCTTCTCAACAGGTAGCAGTTGTGCTACCTGTTAAGGGGGTTAAGCTATTTAAGGAATTTAAGTTCTCCAAGGTTTTTATGTTAACTGTGTTTATTTTAATTTTGCTGTTGCTTATGCTTCTCACTGAAGATGATGGATTACCTACCCGGGCTGTTTTTTTTTTCTTTTTTTTTTTTAGCATATTTGCATATACTTTTTTAGAGACCTACCAGTGACTAAAAATGCAAATTAATTTGATAAAATAGGTAAAGCTGTGCTTTTAAAGTTTCAGAAGTACTGTGCAATCAAAATAACAGGAAAAGACAGGCTAAAAAAATGTACAGTGGCAAATCACAGATCAAACGAGTGAGAAACCAACCAGCCCACACAACCATTGCACACAGGTATTCATCTGCCATTTTTCATTTCTCTTTCAGTCAGTCTTCCACTTTGAGGCCACAAAAGAAAAGACGTCCAAAAGAACAGAAGCAAAACGACATAAAAAGAGAGAAAAAAAAAGTAACCAAAAAAAGACAGTTTGAGCATCACCTCAGAGAAAACATCTGCCACGGTTCAGGCGAGCCGAGGGAGCGCACAAGGAAGAGCGGGCACACAAATCCCCACTCCCACAACCACCCACACAGAAGAGAAGACAGATATGTGAGTGATCAGACACAGAGGCGGTAAACTTCTCTGGGGGGGTGAACAGCTATGTAAAAAGAACTTTTGATATGGTGCTTTTGTAGCTATGCCTCGCCACAAGCTCATACATAACCCATTTCATCCATGTGATTGCATGAACACTGCTGCGGCTAATGGAATTTTCCATGTAGTGTTTTCATTTTGCAAAAACCTTCATGCATTTCTTGACCAAATATTGATTTTTTTCTGGAACATACTTTTTTTTCTGTTTAAGTATTCAGTTATCAAGAGCTCTGCCATTTACAGTAACCCACTTGTTGTAACTGGCAGCTACTGTATATTACAGGAAGTTAGAGCAGTTAGTAAACAATGGGCTTTACCTTTCTAAAAGCATCTTACTTTAACCACTAGTGCAGGTTGTCACAAGAACATAACTTCCTAAAATTAAAGAGAATAAATTAGGTAATAGAGAAGTTTGAGCATTGTGCAGGGCATATCCAGTATTTACAGTGCAACTGATGTTTAGGATAGGATTATAGAGGCAACTTCCACCCAAACTGAGTTTTCATCAAGCTTCAAAAAGACACCAAAGAAGTTGGACTTACGGAGGAGAAGTTGTGAGCCCCGCATGGTTCTCCTCTGTACTTGCACGAGAGCAGCATGTCATCCAGCTGGTGGCTCAGTCTATCCATAAACTCCAGGTTGGTTCCTTCAAAGTTTCTTGGTGGCAGAAAGAGCCTGAAGTCCGACAGCTTCCTGAACCAAGCTTGACGGTCCTCCTGAAGCAAGTCCAAAACCAGGGGCCTCACTGTCCGGTTGGCCAGCAGCAGGCCCAGCCAGTGGCCTGCGAAGTATAAGTCGCTCTTAGTGAGCTTGTAAAGGCGGATGGGGTTGTTGTTGCAGATTGTGACTGTGGGGAAAGCGAGTTCTTTAGCCCACTCTGTGTGGATTCGCGTGTATGTGGGGAAAGAAAGCCAGTGGAGTAAGCGGTTTGATGACCAGGATAAAAGCAGCCCCAGGGAGGTGCAGAGGGCCAGTAGCCAGAAGGCCCTGCGGCCCACAGAGCCACCGGGGACACACACATGCCTCAGGCCGTGCAGGCGTGTCCTTGACAGAAGAGTGGAAGTGACCCGAGCCAGAGTTTGCTTCGCAGCACGCCGCTGACGACCCCTTCTGATCATGGCCGGGGATCCCCGCCGGAGACAGCGCCCCTCCAGGGCCATAGCTGCCCACAGCGCTCCTACAGCCGCGGGAAAGGCTTCATTTCCCAGCCAGGCCTCAGGGGCTGGGGCCCACATGTAGCTCCAGGATAAATCCACTACTGTAATCCACACCTGGATATGTGTTGGGTTTTACAAATATTGACAACCCGTACAGTCTTGGATGTAAGCACACTGCATGCACACAATCAAAACACCCTCAAGCAAACTGTGTGTTGGAAAAATCGACTTTTCCTGATGATGCAGCTCTTCTGGTGAACTCAGGAGCAGCTACTTGTTGGTCTTCTCTTCCTGGTCTCTTGATCTGAGGGGTGTCCAATCATCCAACTCAGCAGGGGGACGAAAAAAGAAAAAAAAAAATCAGCAAGGCAAATGTGCTCCAAGCAAGGTGGCTTCTACATGAGTGACTCCAGCATCGACTGCAGTTAGTGTGACAGTGAACAAGACAGGATGAGACAGAAAGAAGCGAAGGCAAGAGGAGGAGGGAGGGGCAGAGAGAAGGAGAGAAGAGGATGGAATACAAAATACCAAGGGCTAAGCAGAGAGAAGAGAAAAGGAGCACAAATGGAAGAGGAGAAGGTAATTAAAATAATGAGACCACAGCAGAGGGAATTGGTTGGTGTGGTGCGGTTGGTTGCCTTGTTCCAGCGCTGTGGTTTCTCGTCTTCGGAGTTATGTGTGTGTGTGTGTTTTCTTGGCTTCACTGGCTTGCAGAGGCATTCAGCAGCCAGAGGCAGCAATCAGTTTCTTGTCACTATTAAGTACAAGCTTTAATTGAATTTACAGAAAGTCCCCCGCGCTCATTTGTTTTCTGTCCCACTTTGCGGTCGCACTTTTGATGCTTCTACTTTCTTGTGATGCTATGCTGCTCTCTTCGTTCGGCTTTCACCAGTGTTATCAAGCCCTACGGGGAACCACAGGGTAGCTTCACATTGTCGTGAACCTGCTTCTCAGCGCCACGGCCACAGCAAGAAACATGCTACAGCGCACTTTCACATGGAGAAGAAGGGCACTCATGCAAAGTCAGGGACACACATTCACAGCGGTTTCCTGCGGGGAAACCAAACCACAGATAATCTTTTCTGTCACACTCTGCTCTCAACATCTCTCCCCCTTTACTCTATCTACTGTTATCATCTCCGCTGCTTCTTTTTCCTCCCCTCGTTTTCTCTCCACCGCTCAAAGGAGACAGCATCTCAATATTCCCCTCATGTCCCTGCTCCTCCTTCTAAAAATACTCTCCCCAAATCAAATCCATCAACTTGCCCTCACGCTCCTCCTCCTCTTCTCCGCTCTTGTGTCAGTCAAACCCCCGTAAACTCGACCTCCTGTCAAGCTCTCTCTCCTCCTCCTCTTCTTCTTCTTCTTTTCCACTTTATGCACGCACTCCCTCACTTCGCTCCCCCGTCAGAAAAAGGCTTCTTTTTTGCGCTTTCTTCCCTCATGTCCTTGTCAGCTGCATTCCAGTTTGCTCCCTGCTCCAAATGACTTCTCCCCCTTCAGGGATCTCTCGCCGCTTTTCTCCCCCTCCTTTCCACTCTCGCAGTCTCTCGCGTTTGACTCCTCTGTTTCGCTCCGGTTTTCAGGTGGCTCGTCCTCCCATCGCACCTCCTATACTGCTCCTCCTCCTCCTCCTCCTGCGCCACAGCTCTGTCCGCGCAGCCGGTGAGCCCGTCACTGATGAGAGCGCCTGTCTCACTCTGCGCTAACTCGCGAGCTGTCCTTCGCCCCCCTCTGTTTGTCTGCTGCTGCTGCTGCTGAGCCGCGCGGCTTCGGTACAATGAGAGACTGCTGCGCGCGCCAATGTGAAGGTTCTGTGTGGAGCTGCGGGAGACAGCCAGACAGGGCTCCCTCCTCACTGCACTCCTCCAGCTGTACGGTCTGGGCTTTTTGACACTCTGAGCTTGGATTTACGTGCATGTTACATAAACATTAAAACAACATTTATGGGACTGTAATCTGATTAACGATCTCCCAAAGCTTCCTTTCTGTTCTCACTGTGGCTGTCATAAAAAACCCCTCCATAAATTAGATTTATTGAGGTCTGAGTCCTGAGTTTAGAAATGAAGCTCAAAATTAAGTTTACCTTAGATTATTGCCACTTTTTAAATTTTATTTCCTTTAAAAAAGTATTTGGCCACCTTTTTTCAACACTGATTTATTTATGATTATTTGTGCCAGTTGTCTTTAGAGCAGTATAAGACTAGTTTCTGACTTGGTGTCATTTTTTCATGGCTGAGGAAAGGGACAGAACATTACTACATTTTAAAACCTATCACTGCATAAACTCATACCACACTTGTGTTTGAAAAGGTTGGCACTAAATATGGATGTTTTTTTTTTTTTTAATGGATTTAAATATTTTGTCTTTCTTATTTCAGGCCAAATTAAAAATGCTCAGGAGTTTATTTCTGTACTTAAAACCATTTATTGACCTTGAAATATTCCCGGTTGGCTGTAGCTCAACTGCCAAAAACTGTTGACCGAAACAGTCTCTCTATTTGTCACTTGACTGGGCCCAAGGCCGAGCTATATTAAGTGATTTTGTTTTACAGCTACTGAAATGTTCTGAGGGTAATTTATAAATAGGTCCAGTTGAAGAGGCACCTCGCTAATGAAACATATCTTAATAAATCTTGATAAATCTGATGTTTTTGATATGTGCATATGTACAAATTGCGTTGTGGGAGACATAAAGGGTTTATAAGTCTAAGTCTTACAGTATGGCTCAGATAAAATGTCAGTTATTTGATGGATTCTGAAAAGGTTTTTGTGCAAGAGGGGGGGACAACCACACTGGCCCGCCAGCTGGTTCTTATTATGGATGGAGCACCTCCACATGTTGAGAGAAGTGAAGACAAATATGGCAAATACTGTGTTTTAGAAGTGGCATCGAACCAAAGCATGCCTAGGAGGAATCTGGTTTCGGGACCTGCGTGACTTATACAAGACGCTCTGTTTGTCCTGCAGAGTTCAGAACTGATCATGGCCCCATTAGCTGCTCCTGACAGGTCAGATGAAATTCTGGCATGTCTGAAAATTTGGTCAGTTGATCCTCTAACACAGCGGGAACAGAGCTGACTGCACCTGCGTAAATCATCACCACCTGACAGAACCATAGCAACATCCTCTGTGGTTTTTATAGCTGTCATACACATCAATAAACATACTTCAGAAATAACATCTAGTTTCAGTCTGGTCTTGATCTTACTAAATATGTGCTGTTGACATTCTTAGCAGCAGACTACTGACTATTTACTATTTAGACTATTTACTACTGGGGCAAAAAAAATCAAGTCGCCTTTTCACTCTGCGGAAGTTCGTAGCTGGTGTGGAAGCTTGTAGTGACTTTATGATGTATTCACTGCAGTGTGTAATGACCCTTAAAAAAAAACACTGACACCATACTGACTGCATCCCTTGTCTGTGTAAAGATGACATTATTTGCCATCATTTCTACAGTGGACTCACTGTTACTATTTTTTTTTAAACTTTGTAAACAGTGAAGTTTCAGATCATAATTAGCACCCAAACGACATCAGTAGACTGTCAAAGTTCAGTACAGCCAAGTTAGATAAACTTTATCCGTACAAGTAAACAGAAAGCCTTTGAGTCAACTTTGAGTAAGTGCTCCCGATTGCTCATCGCACACTTTTCTAAAACATCAAGGTTTTACTCATTAGCATTCACCAGGGTTTTTCTCCCAATTACAGAGGAGAGCAGATTTCTCCCTGTGTGAACACATTTTTAATTTTACATGTTTTAATTGAATTCCCGCAAATGCTGTGCTTTGTTTCTGCAGGTATTGAAAAAGAGAATATATCTCAAATCCTGAATATAGATTTGAATCATTATCATAACATCTGCTATTTTATTTTTATTTTTTTGTTATATAACCCGAGTCACCAAGGCTAACTTACTTATTAAAAAAAACTACACAGGATCAGACAAACATCTAATTTGCCGCAAGATCAGCCAAGAGAAAAGCCTGACATTTGTTTGGCTTAAACACACAGCAGGTTTTTTCTCTCTTTTTTTTTTTGTGTGTTTTGACTGGGCAGAACTGCTCGACAAATCACTGTGATCTCATCTTTGAATACACGATACAAAGACATCATCATCTAAGCAGATAAAAAGCCTACACATGAACCCTTAAGAAACCTTTCACACTGTCAAAAGAAATTAACACAGAAACACAAAACTGCATGTGTACACACAGAGGCAAATTATGGGAGCACACACAATAGAGGGAGCAGCACTGTGAAAACGCTCAAAGACTCAAATACATGCATGTTTAATGCATAAGCGGTCAAAATGAAAAGAACAGGAATGCAGTATTGAAATGTCAAAAGCATACATGTTGACTTATTTTCTCTAACACCTACTGTATGCTGCATTTGCACACACAAACATATACACCAACACAACCTGCAGCCAGAGTCAGAGGCAGCCTTCCAGAGCCTAGAAACACTGAGCTGAATAATTAGCTGGGAGCCATAAAGAGGGCTTCTCAGTCCAGCTATGCAGTCATTGTAAAGAACTGCTCAAAGGCTCAACATATCTCATTTGCAATTCTAAAACATAAGGGAAATCACTGATTAATTAGGGAGATGGCAAACCCAAGCCTCAGATACAATTACACAACACCTAATAGCTGTGCGGCCTTGGCATGTGTCCCCCTGTAAAATATTCCTTGTTCACTCACATCAAGAGCATTGTCTCTGATCAAAGGACACACACATTATCAAACTGGCTGAGAGAGGATCATGTAAATACATTGATAGTTACGTGTTAATAAGGCCTGTACTGTTCTGGATGAGAATGGCTGGGCGGCCAGCAACAAGTCGCCAAAAATTGAAGTGTGGCTTGAGGAAGCAAGGCGACAAGTGGAGATGATTCATAAGGATACAAGCTTCAGGTGAGGCCGTGACACCCTGAGAAGATGAAAGACGAGGGAGGTGAATAGAAGCCCTGTCGGCCATCTTGTGGCAGGTCGTCATTCTTCAAAACCACAACTTGATTTAGAGTGACAGTGATGGCAGGCAGAGCAATCAATGGCTTTTTTGTGCTTTATGAGTATTCTGTTCAGACTGCAGTAACTCCTGTCAGAGTCTTAGACTCAGAGGTAGAAGCACCGGCCTCCTCCGCCACAAACCAAATGCATTTTAAACGGAAAGGCAGGATAAATCCAGAGGAAGGAGCCCCTGATTAAGAACAAAGATTGATGGTCTGGAGGAAGCCACCCATTTGAACATGATTACACTCAATGATAGTTGTCAGGGTTTGGAGGAATGACTCGAAAAGGTCTCCTTTGTGAGGATGCAGTCAAAGTCTTTGAGACGCTGTCACCAATAATAACATGTTTCACTCTAGTTTTTAACGTCCACAGCTGTAAGTTTATCAGAGTTCATTGTGAAAAAACATGGGAGACAAAGCAGAGGGATATCAATCTGATGTCATCACTGTGCTGATAAATGAGCCTGAACCAATAACCGCTGACTCCACCCGATCATCAAACACTGATTTGATAAGCACATGTGTGAAGTTGCATAAAAGTTAAAGATGTCCGAGGCATTCTCAGGCAATTTTGAGACTTTTTTGACAGGAAGCAACAACCGAACTATTGGTCTCATATGAAAAGCACTCAAGTCACTTCTGCACATGAATCATCAGTTATTTTACCTAGCAGGATACTGCAACATCTTCTTATTTCCAAATCACTTCTTTTGTAATAAACTCCATTTTCAACTTTTTGAATGAAGACAAAAGTGGAGCTCAAGAGTCACAATCACAAAACCTTATTCATGAAAGTAATGATCAGCTGTTTCACCAGGTCTGTCACATGTCTGATAATACTAACCAGGCATTGTTCAGAGTTTCCTGTAAGCACTTGGCATTCGGAAGAAAAAGAAAATCAGGGATAACATCATAACTAGGAGTTTTTCTTAGCTTGATTTACCCAACAGCACAATCCCAGGTCAAAAGCATTGGATGTGCCCCAAGAATCCCATCTGACTGCATTCTTGGCAGATTTAACCAGTCAGTCTTTATCTGAAAAGAAAAAAAACAAAGCAGACAGATGCAAAAATATGTCCTGAAAGAAACTTTAGTGACAAATATATACTTTACATTTAATTACATCCTGGCTCTAAAGTAGATACTTGATTTTGATTGGTCAAAACTCCACAACAATAGAAACGTTCTCTAAATAGCAACAGCAATGCCAAGGACAGCTAGATCATTTAAATCAATCTGCGTAAGAGAGTTTTGGCACATATTACCTCTCCCTTGGGCACTGAAGCAAAAACGCTGGTAAACCCTACATGGATGATATCTTTGATATTCCCTTTAATTTTCTTGAGATGTTTAGCACAAAACTGTTGAGCAGGAAAAAAAAGTACACAAGAGGCCTAACCCTAAGCCCTAGGGATGCCAGTAGAAAAATGCAAATGCTTTGATTTAATCATGAATGAAAATATGTTCAGATTTAGTTTAACTTGTAAGTCGGCTGATGAGAAAACTGCTGCCACAGAAGCCCAAACAACCAATCGATGAAGTCAAATCAATACTTAGTGTCAACGTGTGTGTGTCTCTGGTTGCTAACTGGGTAGAAAGCAGGTTAATGTACAGTGAGCTCTCCAGGGTCCAGGGCCTCTCTCAGTGAGGATTAAGTTTCACAAAACCACATCAGACCCACACAAGGGTCTTTTGGAAAAAGCATGCAAGTCAAATCAAGCAAAGGTATCAATTCAACCTTCTCCCTCTCTACCAATGTATTTTTCATAAAGACTGGCAGAAAACAATTACTGTGCTGTTCACTGACTGCAGGGAATTCTCATTTTCAGTCATGAGCCACTGCCGCTCACAAAAAGGACAAAAAAAAATACACATTTTCCTGGAGAAGGAGCTCTATTGCAAAGCTGCCCTTTTGTACCTGACTGAAAACTTGTTTTGATTGTGGGGTGAAGTTTTTACCGCTCAAACACAGTGGAGTTTATTCTTCTTGTAGACGGCAGGGCTGTCAGCTGTGCTGGGGCAGGAGGTGACAGGCCTCCGAGGAAATTACAAAAGGACCTCTGCAGGTAAAGCGGGACATTTAACAGTGATGGGGACGCTCAGGTATGCTGTAATTCAGCTTCAGGCTGAATTCAGGAAGGAAACAATATCCATCACTGAGGTAAGAAGAAGTCAGAGGGGGTAGAAAAACACAGAGTTCGCTCTGTAGCTGACCTCAGCAGCTTCAGTACGCAGATCCTCTAAAGCGATACAGGGGTGAGGTTTAGATAAAATCACAGTAGTTTACACAAAGCTTACAACTAATAACTAATAAAAGGAGAATGTATGAGTCAGAGCACTTACACACACACACACACACACACACACACACACACACACACACACACACACACACACACACACACACACATAAATGCAACCCCTATTTCTCCACAATAAAATCTCCACAATACCACCTTAAAAAAACGTGCATTTATTTTCTTGTACAAGCCCGGCATTGCTGTCTTTTTCTCCAACAATTAGAGTGAAATAATTGAGGATTAGCAGCTGAGCTGTGGACTCACTTCATTTCCAGCCCAATCAATGGAGGTGGGAGTGCATTGACTGCAGCCCTGCTGGATGGAAGGTTCCTAGAGCTGCTCTCTGCTGATACAGCAATGTTACCACAATGTGTTACATCTGATATTGACTTGTTTTCCAATTATTATGTAAAGAGCATTCATATGTAGGGGCTTAAAACTGGGAGGAAACACAGCTAAATTGAAGATGGCTCACTGGTGCTGAGAAATGCGGTCAGGCACATTAACTATGGAAACAGAGGCATCATGCATCAGCTGCTGCAGCATTTTTTCTTTATGTTTTAATTAACTCTGAAAACATTTAAAAGAACAACTTCATACCTGCATCACCTTTGTTTAACTTGGGGAAAGAAATGTTTTCCACTTTAGATATACTGAATGAAACAAGCTGCAAGATGAAATAGTGAGAGTCCACAATGAAAAAGTAATCTCAGAAACATGGCTCTTCTTATGTGGAGCAAAAAAGATCTAAATCAATACAGCAGCACCAGAGATTTTGTCCTTTCTTCATTCTTACCATTCTTCTTCCTTCCTTCAACCCGATCCCAGAGAGTTTGGTCAGAGATTTTGGGGTGCTTTGCTAGCAGCCTCGGGCCACATGCCTCAGGCAGCTATGAGCAGCAGCAGCCTGCAGAGGTCTGGAAAGCTTACTATCCTAGTAAGCTCACTATCCAAAAGGTTTTTGTTGTTAAATTTGTGGTCTTAAGCCCTTATAGTTGTAGATTAAAGTTACACAATTCTCCCCTCCTAAGTACAAAACAAGATTCTTACTTCTTCTCTTATACAAAAGTTTGACTTATAATTTAAAGGGATATTCCGGCGTAAAATTAATTTAGGGTCAAACCATAGACTGTATATAGAATGGACAGAGTCTGCCTCCTCTCTGGGTGAAGCCACTCCGAGAACAGCACCCTCTGTTGATGGGCTGCAGTATAGGTCATAAATCCTGCCTTCCCCAGCAAAGCTTATGGGGCTGTGGACAAACTTTAGAAATTAATTACACAGAACATAAATTCCCCCCCCCCCGCTTGCGGTGTTGACATGTAGTTACTGTGAGACTGGTTTGTGCTCAAGTCCTCTTTTTTCTGTGAAGCTACATTTTTAAAAGTTATTAGGAGGTTCACATTTTCTTTGATAGAAACATGATACAGCCTATTGGCATTAAGGGATTGTGTAGCTCACCTGGGGGGTACGCTGTTTGAGCCGAGCATCTTCACAGCGACTCTCGGCGGCACTCCGGCCGAATGCGCATAACGCTACTGCGCAGTGCTGGTTTCAGGAAATGAAGAAAAATCCCAGAAATACTGAGAGCTTTCTGGCTTCAAATCTATATACGGGAGGGAGGCGGAACCAAGTTGTCCATGGTATATACAGTCTATGTGTCAAACGCACACATTTATGATCATTACTTTATCATTTCCTTGAAGTAATAATCACCATATTAATCAATTTGCACTGCAGACACGGTAGTTCTTCTGCCTTAGTGTCTCGGTCTGATTGCATTTCCATGAAGAAATGATCATAAATGTTCTTCCTTGAGCTGAGCTGAGTAATGGACTGGCCCGAGGTCTCGCTACAAACAAGTGGCTACTGGAAGAGAGTAGGTGAGTTGTGTTTAGTCTCTTTGCTGAAGAAATTAGACATTGTTAAATAGATGTTTGGTGGCTAGTACTATGGCTGGGACTCTATATGTACTGTTAATGAAGTTAGGTGCGTTATTTGTGGCTATAGAGCGACATTTTGGTTTAGGTTTGTTTATGACTCCTCAGACCACTGTGTATTGCTGTCATGCGTTTGTTACTAAAGTTGGTAAAACTAGAGAAGCAAGCAGTCGGCAGCATTAATCTCTCGACGGGGTGTCCAACTCAGTGTTACGTGTGTTTGACCATACATTAATTCCACGCCAGAATATCCCTTTAAGCTGTAGTGCAGAAGTAATGTGATTCAATTAAAACTTTTTCAGTTGTATCAGAGTCATGATGAAGAAAATGTTGAAACATCCTCTTTTGGATGGTGGCTATAAAGTCCAGAGTCAAGAAGAGTTGATTCCAGTTTCTTGACTTTGTAGAGAGAAACCCCTGAATATCATCTGCATAACACGATAGACTAAGTTAATCTACAAGAATAGATAGCTATATCCAGTGGTGGCTTGGAGTGGTGGCTCTAAAGTCCAGAGTGAAGGAAAGTTGATTCAAGTTACTTGGCTTTGTAGGGAGAAAGAATTAGGTATCATTTGTATAACAATATATACTAAGTTGATCTCCAAGAGTGGATACAGTTTAACCAGGAATGAAACCCTGAATAAATTTAAACATGCAGAGGAGCAGAACAGTGTGCTTTATGTTAATGCAGGTATTTAAGTATTGATTACTCAAATATGAATGAAACTACTATAAGGTACTCACAAGATGACATGCCAGTTGTACAATCAATCAAGTAAGGTAGCATGATCCATGGAGTTAAAAGCAGCAAAAAAAGGCCAGTTCCTTCCTAGCAGACAACTAACAGGGTTTAGCAGAATCCGGTCGGGCTATAACAGATGATCTGTTTAAATCACCCTGCAGTTTGACAGTTTTGCTGTCATAATCTCAGTGTAACTAACTAGATTTAGTCTCTCCAGTTCTGAGTAAGTACTGAACATTGAACAGCTGTGAATTTAAATGCTTGTTGTATGCTTGTTGAAATCCTGTTGCGCATACAAAAAGAAGAGATGTAGCAAGATGAAACCCACACAGACATAAAGAGTGAGCTAATGAGGAAGCTTCACTGAGTAGTTGTTTCATATAAGTTTAAAGCTCATCTCTGGCCTCGGCTGCTAAATGTATTAGTCATTATGTTTTGTGCTTCTCTGTGGGTGTTTAATCTAGATTTTCTTTCTTCTCTTTTTTTTTTTTTCCTATATCACTTTCTGGGAGATCCTAATAACAAGGCTCACCACTCTGTTATACACATGCCGAGCATACTGAAAAATGTTCAAATCTGGGAAATTTTGTGTTGCTGGTTTTCCATTTTCTGATCAAATAACCAGCATTTTTTGTCAAGGTACATGACGATGCATCTACTTTGGGATAGTGGTACACATGGATAACATTAAGACAGAGCTTTTAGCAAAGGAGGAGTGACCAAACACAACACAATAGGCACAAAACATGTGTAGACATGCAGTATGAATAAAGGACTAATAGGTACTTCCAGATCTGCATCAACTCTTCCTTAAATGTGTCTTTTAATGTGTAAGATCTGATATCTAAATAATTGGTGTGTTGTTTATCCAGTTGTATTCCCACCCCTGTGATTAAACCATTAGCTGTGGTTAAACTAGTAACAGCAGCTGATGGTACTTAAACACTCCCTGACAGTTTGGCAGCAGCCCAGATTCACTCTGCAGACACCCTCCTGCCCTTTCCAGCTACCCTTGGCCTCCCAGACATCCTGAAAAAACCCTGTTTACCATTCAGTCAGCAGGCCAATATTTAAAACCCTCAAATCTACATTTTACAAAGTAAGCAGAGGCGCTTAGACACCAGATCTAATACTCTCAAAGCATAATTTAGTGCAGTAGCGAGAAGAAGCAATAATATGTTTCATAAGTAACAAGGAGCTGTAGCGTCTTTGAATTGATCATATGAATGAGGGAACGGTTGTGGAAGTATGATGTCTGCAGAGTAATATGCAATGTAACTGGTTTAATTGCACCATTTGTTGAAAATCAATATGCTTTCAGCTTGATCTTTAATTCAAGTGCAGACTAAAATATTGATTTTAGCGCTCAAACTATTCCTCCAAATGTCATATTTTAAAGTTTTGCAAGCTGTAATGAATTAAAATGAAAAAGGAAAAAAGGGACGAACAAGAAAACAAGTGGAGTTGATTCTTATGACTTTTAATTTGACTGGATTAATTAACTTCTGTCATAAACAACACACTCATCCATGAGTTATTCGTCTGTGATAGTGCTCATCCATTGCTTCTATAAACACTGAAAGATTATTTCTCCAGAAAACTGTAGCTGTGCCCTCAGCTACAAAATACTCAAACTTTTCAAACAACCAATATGAGAGAAATCAAACAGAAGAAAAGAGATTCAGACTTTACAGCATTTGTGAATCAAGTTGTTTAAACTGACATTCTGGAGTATTTTATATCATTGGTCTTTCATTTCTGATTAAACTGAATCTTTACTTTGCTGGGTAGTTGACTTTTCTCCACCACCCAGTGGTTTAACAACCACCTTTCCCTTTAAAATGCCACTCCAATTATTATTATCATTATTATTATTATTAGTATTAGTATGAGTATTATTATAACTTACTACTTAAAGTGTTCTCAGTGGTATTAGATTGTGATTATACAGTTTTTTAGCCAAAATCATATAACCTGTGTCATTTTAAGGGCTTTTCCTCTGCAGAGCTCCAGTAGCTCATTTGTAATTCGCCTCTGAGTTGTAGGTGGAGACAGCGCTGCTCTGCACACTCCTCTTCGTGCTACCTTGTAGCCTAACATTGCCGGTGTAGTAGAAGTAGCAGGCAACATAAGAGCTATTCAGCTCTCGGACACAAATGCTTTGGCTTGAGCATGAGTGGTGCAGCTCCCACAGAAAATTCTTTAAATTTACACATTTTGGATCTCATAACCATCCAAACTTATTTGGAAACACAGATTAAGTGACTCTATTGCCTCATAAATGAACATGCCTCCCAAACCGGCCAAACAACAAAATAGGAGAAACAACTCGGAATTCCTGAATAGCATTAGCAAAGAAACAGACACAAATGCTAACAATATGACAGCACTAGCTAATGCAGTTACTGCTGTGCAAGCCTCTATCAACTCATTTCGGGAAGAGAACCGAGCGTCAATTGCCTCTCTACATTGGATTCTGAGTGTTTATGGCCAACAAATTACTGAGGTAGAAGACGGCATGAATGAGTTCGACAAGAGACTGAGCAGCATGGAAACTTCTCAAAATTCACTTGCGAAAGGAAACAAAGCCGTGAAGGAGAAGGTAGCGTACTACACCAGACAGCATCGAGGGGATATCAGAAAATGTGGAGGGCCCACGACCATCAGAATTCATTGGCAAACTACTCCTGGATGTGCTTGGGGAAGACAACTTTGAGAAGCCACCATCGGTGGACAGAGCCCACAGAAGCTTGGCCCCTAAACCAGTAGATGGCGATTATAGATCACGGCCGCTCATTGTCAAGCTACATCACTTTCAAACTAAAGAGTTGATCCTACGCCTTGCCAGACAGAAGGGCCCTCTCTCCTACAACGGATCAAGATTTCACATCTTTCCTGATTACATCCCGGATATCAACAAACGACGCACAGTCGTCTCCAAGACCAAAAAAAAAATCCATGCCGCAAAGATCCAGTTCACCCTCTACTACCCAGCCACTCTGCAGTTTACACACAACGGGAGACGCATGAAGTACACAGACCTCACGGCGACACTGACCTACATCAATAAAAATGTGTCTGCTGACTACGAAAGCTCTATTTCACTAGTAAGAGAAGATGGTGATTGAGGTATTGCTGATCATCGGGTCAAAATACAAATAATTAACTAAAAGAGACGGTGATATCACTACAAATAGTTATTCTGTCAGTTTTTAACTGACAGTATTTTGTATTTCTATGGTACTATTTTATTAATGCTGTGTATGTAGCAATTGACAATTTGCGTGAATGTGTGTACCCAGATAGCAAAAGATAGTTTTTCAACGTTTAATTTTGGTAGAAAAGGTTGAGTTTTACTTACGACTGAAGACTGATGGTTGTTCACCATTGAATCACTATTGTAGTGCACAATTCACTGATTGAAATTCCAACATTGAATCAACGTTGAATCTATGGTGCAAATTCAATGATTGAAATGCCAACATTGAATCAGCTGTTTCTATGGTGTTTGCCTTTTTCTTTTCTTTTTTTCTTGACGGGGGGGGGGGGGGGGGGGCACCCCTCCTCACACACCCCCTTCTCCCATTTAATGATTGAAATGCCAACATTGATTCAATGCTGAAAATATGGTATGGAAAATATGGACCAATGTTGTAATAGGTATCATCAAGTGTTCACCCCGTCTCGCCCATACGCGGCGGCGAGTGTTTCTCTGGCGGTTTAGGGACCGACACGGACAACCTGATCCGGCGGATGTTGGCAGCAGCATTGACAAATGGCCTGGCCAGTCAATACAACTGGGCCAGCAAGCATGATCAGCGTTGTTCCTCCACCAAGAAGCCCTTCAAAAACACTGCGATGCAAGGCTGCTTGTTAGGTAAGTCTTCTCTGCCAAAACTACAATGGTTTAAGTTTAGGTCAAAGTTTGTTTATTTGTCTACTGTAGGAGAAGCTTGTCTTTGAGTTAGAGCCCCACTGCATACATGTAACATTTAACAAGTCAAAAAGAAAAGACACCAAATTGAACACATACAAAAACAGTAAACACAGAGACAGAGATATTGCGTATATTCCCTTAGTTAAGGTCCATCTTGCTGTTTAGCAGTCTTAGATTTCACATTTTGATTGACAGAGTGCTTATATCAATAGTATTTGCACCATGGTGCCCTATACCTCCTACCAGATGGTAGTAGATTATGCTCTGGATTCAGTACATGTAAGGGATCAGACATAATATTCCAAGCTTGCCTCAATACTGCTTGTTCAAAAATGGCCTGAGGAGTGATCGGGTGGGTCGACAGCCCCATAATCTTCCCCGCCATATTTGCCAACATAGAGATTTGTGATTTATATACAACAGTCAGGTTTCCAAACTAGCTGGATATACCATACCTTAAGACAGACTCTATACTGGCCCTGTAGAAAGTCAACATAATATTTAGACAGACTCCGAAGAGCCTAAGTCTTCAAAGAAAGTGTAGACACTGATGTATCTTTGAACACATAGTTGTAACTTGTGTGCCAGTTGAAATCCTTATTGATCAGCACTCCCAGGTACTTATAGGAGGAGTCTTGTTTGATGTTATGGTCATGAATATTTTTTTTGGTTGACCCCTATTAGGTGAATGTTATTACAGACTGTAAATATGATCCAATAATTATCTCTGACCATGCTCCAGTGAGTATTAAAGTAACTCTTCCAATTCAGAGGACAAAATGGACATGGCAACTTGATACACTTCTGCTGGCAGATTCAGACTTTAAGTTCATTACAGAACAGATAGATTTTTTTTCTGCAGGTCAACAGAACTGAGAACATCTCAGCCTCAACTCTCTGGGAAGCACTTAAAGCATATCTCAGAGGGCAGATTATTTCTGGCTCTGCTCATATTAGGAAAATAAAATATATGAAAATTGAGGAGTTGTCTCCAGAAATTAAGGCTCTGAACGGACTCATAGCTAGCTCTCTGACCCCTGATTTGATTAAAAGGAGACTAGGCATACAAACTGAAATAGATCTCTGAACTACCACTCAAGCAGAGAGGCTTATCCTTGGCAGATTCTATGAAGAGGGGGATAAACCATCCAAATTATTAGCCAGTCAACTTCGTCAAAAAGCGGCGTCCCGTAATATTTCGCAAATAATGCTACCTGATGGCTCCTCAACAGAGGATCATCAGGCTATTAACAACCAATTTAAAGAGTTCCACTCTAAACTATATTCTTCAGACTCAACATCCGATTACAACCAATTCGACTTTTTTTTTTTGCTAATCTGAATATCCCGAAAATTGACTCTGACTCTGACTCTAAAGAAAGATTGGAAGAAAATCTGACGCTGGGGAAAATTGACAATGCTATAATGTCCCTTCAGAGTGGTAAAGCTCCCGGCCCGGATGGGTTTCCAACTGATTTTTATAAGAAATTCAAAGATAAACTTGCCCCTCTTCTTCTTCTTTCAGTTTATACAGAAGCACTGGAAAATAACATTCTTCCACCTGCTCTTCGCAAAGCACCTATTACACTATTATTAAAAAATAACAAGGACCCTCGTGATTGCTCTTCCTACTGACCAATTAACTTGACAAACTGTGATGGCAAGGTGTTCTCAAAGGTCATTGCACTCCGGCTGGAGACAATTCTTCCTCATATCAAGTCAGAGGACCAGAATGGATCTGTCCATGGCAGACAATCCTATTTTAACCTGAGATGATTGTTTAATATCATCTACACTGAAGCTAACACTCCATCTCCAGAAGCGGTAATATCACTTGATGCTGAAAAGGCTTTTGATCGGGTAGAGTGGAATTCTCTTTTTTATACACTTACTAGGTTTGGTTTTGGCCCAAGTTTTATTGAACTTATCAAGCTCATTTACACTGACCCTACTGCCTGAGTTTATACCAATAGTATCTCATCTGAATACTTTCGTCTTCACAGAGGGACGAAACAAGGGGATCCACTGAGTCCATTGCTTTTGGTCTTAGCTGTAAAATCCCTTGCTATAGCATTCAGCTGCAATAATAGTATACAAGGTATAACACGTGGTGGCCTAACCTTTACTGTCTCGCTTTATGCAGATGATTTATTACTGTATGTCACCAACCCTACAACATCCACCCACGAAATCCTTAGAATCTTGCAAGAATTTGGAAATATATCTGGATATAAACTAAATTTTGATAAAAGTGAATGTTTCCCAATTAGTAGCAATGCTAGAGAATATCCTAATCTGCCATTTAAGTTGTCTCCCGAATCCTTCACATATTTAGGTGTAACAGTAGAGAAGCTGGAGAGAAGAGTCACAGCCCACGTCAAGAAGTGGCTTGGAGTCCCTCGCTGCCTCACCACCAAAAGCCTCTATGGAGACAGTGTCCTCAAGCTGCCCCTCACCAGCCTTACAGAGGAGTTCAAGTGTGTTAAAACACTTCTGCAGATGACCTTGAACGAATCAAAATATCCGGTGATCAGTGGAAATGCACAGTCAGTGGTGACTGGGCGCAAGTGGAGACCAGCAAGGGCAGTAGAGAAGGCAACAGCAGCTCTCAGGCACGCTGACATTGTGGGGAATGTTCAGCAAGGAAGAGGAGGCCTTGGACTAACACCCAGCCGCCCAGCCTGGAGAAACGCCTCTGCACCAGCACGGAGGAAGATGATGGTTGAGGAAGTGTGGATGCGGTGGGAGAGCGTCGAAAGGAGGAGGCTGAGCTGGAGGGATATATGGGCCATGGAAGCAAGGAGCTTGAGCTTTGCTATCAGAGCCACCTACAACGTCCTTCCAACACCAACTAATCTCCACCAGTGGTTTGGCAAAGATCCTGGGTGTGTCCTGTGCTCCAAGCCAGCCTCTCTCTAGCACAGACTCACCGGGTGTAAAACCAGCCTCATGCAAGGACGATACACTTGGCGCCACAACCAGGTCTTGAAGAGCCTTGCTGCCACATTGGAGGAGAAACGAACAAGCATAAATGCCCTACCACTACCATCATCTAACGCCTCAACAACATCATGGGCAACTGCCTTTGTCCGTGAAGGGGCTGCAGCTACCAGGAGCAGCTCCACACCTTCAGAGAGAAGCCAACTGTGCCTAGCACGTGACTGGAAGATGCTGGCAGACATTGGAAAGCAGCTAGTGTTCCCCTCAGAGATCGCCACCACTACCTTGAGGCCTAATTTGGTGCTCTGGTCTCCCTCCATGAAGAAGGTCTACATAATCGAACTCACTGTACCCTGGGAGGATTCCATGGAGGAGGCATATGAGCGGAAACATCTATGGTATGCCAATTTAGCCGCAAAAGCAAAACATCATGGCTGGAACGCGGAAGTTTGCCCAGTGGAGGTTGGGTGCAGAGGGTTTGTGGGAACATCCACAACAAAACTGTTGAGGGACTTGGGGGTTTAGGGCCAGAAACTGCGCACAGTCATCAAAGCTGCAGCAGAGGCAGCAGAAAGAAGCAGTCAGTGGCTATGGCTGAAGAGGAATGACACCAGTTGGGCCCCCAAGTAGTGAGCCAGGAGGTATGCGGTTGGCTTGGGCTTGACTCAGGGAACCGGACGCCCCTGCCATGCATAGTCCCCTGAGATGTCCGCCACTTGTCAACAAGGCGACTCTCATGGCTAATTGGGCTCGGGATGCAAGCTGAGGTCTGATCACTCTACAGCTGGCCGTCTCTGGTGAGGGTGTATAGTGTTAAAGGCCGAAACACCCCATGAGCAAAAGCAGAAAATCATTTATTTATTCCCATATTATGGATTGCTGCAACCACTCTATTTCACATATTCAAGAATAGAATAGAATAGTCCTTTATTGTCATTGTAACCAGTACAACGAAATTAAAAAAGTGCCAGACAGTCAGTGCATCATTAAAAACAAATACAGTAATAAATAGCAGTTCTAAATAAATAAATAAGTTCCGAATAAATAAAGTAAATGAGTAAATAGGTATTCAGTCACTTCCTTAAGGCATTGAGGGTAGTTATTGCTGACGGAAAAAAACTGTTTTTAAGTCTGTTCGTTCTGGATCTGATTGTCCTATAGCGTCTGCCTGACGGCAAAAGTTCAAACAGGAGGTGACCAGGATGGGAGGTGTCTTTGATAATGTTCTGGGCTTTTTTAGCACAGCGGGCGCCATGAAGGTCGTCCAGTGAGGGAAGGGGGCAACCGACAATCCTCTGGGCTGTGTTGACGACCTGCTGGAGAGCCTTTCTCTGGGCCACAGTGCAGCTGTTAAACCATACACAAATGCAATATGAAAGAATGGCTTCGATGGAACACCTGTAAAAGGACACCAACAGTCTCTGTGTGATGTTATTTTTCCTGAGGACCCTCAGGAAGTGGAGACGCTGTTGGGCTTTTTTAATCACCTGTGTGGTGTTTACAGTCCAGGTCAGGCCCTCCTCAATCTGAACACCCAGAAACCGGAAGTCTGACACCTGCTCCACACAATCCCCGCCGATGATGAGTGGCGTGATGTCAGTCTTTATCCTCCTGTAGTCAATCACCAGCTCCTTCGTTTTTGCTGTGTTGAGCTGGAGGTTATTCTCCCCACACCATGCTGCCAGATGTTCAACCTCGTTCCTGTACGCAGACTCGTCTGCCCCAGAGATGAGCCCCACCACCGTGGTGTCGTCTGCAAATTTGACAAAGGTGTTGTTGTGATGTGTGGGGACGCAGTCGTGTGTGTAAAGGGTGAACAACAGGGGACTCAGCACGCAGCCCTGTGGCGAACCGGTGCTGAGGCTGAGGGCCGTTGATGTGTGATGGCCCACTCTCACCCTCTGGGTGCGACAGGTGAGGAAGCTGTTGATCCATATGCAGGTGGGGTGAGGAATGCCTAGATTGACCAGTTTGTTCAGCAGTTTGTGAGGAAGTATGGTGTTAAAAGCAGAGCTATAGTCCACAAAGAGCATCTGTACGTAGCTCCCCTGCTGCTCCAGGTGGGACAGTGCAGCATGGAGGGCTGAGGCAATGGCGTCTTCTGTGGATCTATTTGCCCTGTATGCAAACTGGTGAGGGTCAAGGCATTTTGGCAGGTGTGATGTGATGTGACCCCGGACCAGCTTTTCAAAGCATTTCATCACCACCGGGGTGAGAGCGACTGG